CTACCAATCGAGCCGGGCGCAAACAAGGGGAAACTGCCGATGCGTGCCAACAAGCCCGTCCATACGTCCACTAGCCAAAATTTTGACCCGTCGGCGATGGGTTAACAATCATGAAAATCATAAAGGCAGGAATTTTTGTGGCCCTGGAGAAATACAAAAATTTATTTTCTGATTTATTTACATTCCCCATAATCTTTTGAGATATTTAGCTATTGCTCTGAAAAGATGTGCATGGCTTCCTAGTCTTTGGACAGAACACCCTTATATTATGTAGATGTTTAACACCAATTTTGTTTTTTAGCATTTTTTTTCTTTGCAGTACTGCTCCTAATTGCAGCAAAAGTAGTCCTATTCAGTCTGTACTAGTGTACTATAGATAGACTGTAATGCCCAAAGGATACAAATATTATGCCATAGATCAGTACTAATGTAATCACCATATAGTCACCAGAAACACAGAAAGAGGTAATGTGAACTGACATTACACAGCTGCATCAACATTCCTGTCTTAAATTCCTTCCTTGCTCAAGGGCTTTAAAGCTAGGAATATCACACTATACTAAGTTGTCAATTCATATTACATGTAAGTAATATTCATCAATACAAATACATACTTTACAGTATCTACAAACAAGTACATTTCATGTAATTGCAGGCTTTGGAGGGTTGATAGTGTAACAGTAATGCATGTGGAATGGAATTTGCTGTCCATGCTACTATTTGGTTAAAATGTGTACACTTACTCAGTAGTAGATAAACTAAATCTGTGATGAAAGTCTCCTCTGACCAAATATATAACTGGCTGACAAATGGCAAAACAGCCAAAATAGTTCAAAATTATAGTGCACTGAAGAAAATATCTTGAACACTGAGAAAAAGCCTTCAAAGCAAAAGGGGGGAAAGCTGTGATAACATTATTTGAAGAATGCAATATCATTTTTAGATTGAAGTCCTTGAAACCTGTAATAATCTTTGGTTTAAGTAATTATTTGTGTTAAAGAGAATTTCACTTGTTGATTCTAAGCCTGCCTACTGGTCCTGTGAATGTGTACGAGATGAGCATCAACAAACTGAAGGAGAGTAAAGAGGGGAAAACAGAAAGTTGGAAAATGGAAAAAAAGTGAAAAGGGAGATTATATGAGAAGATTAATTCCAGAGAAACATACTACTGAAGAGAGATGGGAGGCTATAGCTTGGTACATAAAATAAGAAAAAAAGGTTTTGAGAGCTGCTATAGCTAAATGGGTAATGAAAACCTTTGATTAGAAATCTCCTTTATTGGAAAATGTTACAGAACATGGCTTCACATGATAATGACATATCTACATATAAATAAGCCACCAGTCTTGGCTACACCTTCTACTTCAAAAAAGTGTAATTCTTTGTAAACCTGTTTTCACTACTAATGGACAACCACAATAACAAAAATAAAATAAAAAAAAGAGTCAGAGGTCAAATATCATTAAATCATCCATACATTGTCAAAAATCAAAATAACTATCATACATTCTCATCCTCAACCCATTAGCTACAGGCCCATGCACGGTCCACTTCATTTTTTTGTTAATTTTGTAGCACACAGATGGCTCTAGAAATTTTAGCCACCAAAGAGTCAATTAGTAGGCCCAGGGGACATCAACTGATTTTCCTATTCCTTGAAAAAAGAAAAATAAGAAAGAAAGAAAATCTAATGGTATCAAATATCAACATTTTTATAAGCATTATTGATATCATGATTATCATATCATTATTAAATTGCTTACATTAAAAAAGAAAAAGACGAAAGGAAGAAAAAAAGAATAATCATGGAAGAGGCTAAAAAGTTGAGACAGGTAATTCTAGTCTGTTAATTGACTCCCTGGTGACTCACCATTTATGAAGAGGCCATCAATGGGTAAACACATTTGATTAACTAAATAAGAGTGAACACTACATGTATGTCATGCCATCCCAGCACATTGGGCTTTAAAACAATCATTTTTGCCTAGAAATAGGTTGAACCAACCTAAGACATCAATAAAAGTGGAAAATTAAACTGATATATTTAAATCTAAATTTCATTTTCCCCTGTATCAAAACATGACATTTTGCAAAGTTCCTGATTGATTGGAAGTCTAGTATGAATAATTGGCAAAAAAAGGAGAAAACAAAATGCTCTTATCTACTGGATAATTAACTAATATTGTTGTCTCCCTAAATCTTTTCCTATTTATGACTGTGTTCCCACTGGCATCTAAAGAGCAGTGCTAAACCATTTGCTTGCAAAACAGGTGTAATCTAACTAAATCTTTCTTAAGAAAATAATAATAATAATAAAAAAATAAACAACACTAATAATGCAAATAAATAAATTGCAAAAGGAAAGAGGCAGTGAGAGGATAAAAAGACGAATTCCCTATCTTCTTCAAGAAAATTTCTGAGTCAGGCAAGTGCACTTTCAAGGTACTGCCCAAATGAAAATATAATAATGTATCCTTCTTCTTCAATTAAATTTTAAGCA